AGATTGTTGCTTTGGGTTCCTAGAGGGTGGGTCTGGCGTGTAAGGGACAGAAGACACCAAGCACCCTTTTATTGGGCTTTGTGTGAATTTGTCTTCTCACGTTTTTTCCTGTTTACAAAAGAGGGTCATGCTCCTGGTTAGTCACACTCTCTCATGTCTCAGAGGCATGAGTCCTCCTCCTAAGCTGAAGTGAAATTGTGAATTCTGGGGAAGAGGAAGTCTTCAGTGGTTACTCCTCTGGTATTCTCAGCGTGTGGTGGGTGTGAATGTCCTCTCTCTCTAGGCTGAGGGGATCTAAAATAACAAATCCTAGAATCATAGTCTCCAGTTTAGATGAGACCCACAAGATCCCCTGGTTCACCATCAGGCACTCAACTTCCCTGCTATGTCCCTGTCAGGTGCCTGTGTGGCCTCCTGCTAATGCTGGACCACAGCTCCATCTGTAGGCTCCATGGCTCAGTGGAAAACCCTTCCTTCTGTAGAGCTGGGCAACTTCCATGAGACTTCTACAGGGTTTTCAAAGCAGTTACTCTCTCTTCCCTTATAAGGTCCCTTAAAATATGTAAAGGCAGCTGTCATGAATCTTCTAGCAAAGCTTCGAGTTTCTTCAGTTAATATTAGCGAATACTTATTGAAAACTCACCACGTGCTAAGCAATGTGCCAAAACTTGCTTTATATATATTAACTGTTTTAATCCTCAGAGCAACCATATGAGATGGGCACTATTATCTTCTCTTTATGGATTAGGAAACAGGATAGGAGAAGTCAAATAAGTGGCCCAAGATCACGTAGCTCACGGGTGGAAAGACCTTGGGTCCAGGATGTTGACCACAGAGCACAGCCCTTCCCCCACTGCACTGTCCTGCTCTGGTTCCATGTTCTTCACCCAGGCTGGCCGCTCTCTTCTGAACCTAGCTAGAGTCTGGGGCCACAAAGGATGTGTACATGTTGCATCCAGGTATTAACAGATATCACAGACTAGAACAAGAACCCCACAGACTGTGGGCTTGATGCCGCAGATCACATCCCAGGACTGCATCTCATCTCTTGATTGAGTAAAATCCAGCTACCCTCTCCTTCCTGTATAAGGGAAGTTGGTGTTCTGAACTCAAGTGCAGGACCTTATAGTTTTATTAAGTTTCACTATAGACCATGCCCATTGCTCCAGCCTGTCACTACTTTTAAATCCTGATTATTACCCAGAGTTTTCCATTGTCCTGAGTTTTCCCAGTCTGAGACTCTGCTGGGCTGAGAAAATCAAGTAACTTACTCCTAAAAGTTTGCTTTAAGTTTGGCATCTATGCCAATAACCTAATCAGCTGCTAATTAAATTGTCCTTGTGTCCTGGCCATAATTTTTTATTTTTTGTTCATTTATTTATTGGGACAGAGTCTCTGTCGCCCTGGCTGGAGTACAGTGGCGCGATCTTGGCTCACTGCAACCTCCAGGGTTAAAGTGATTCTCCTGCCTCAGCCTCCCAAAAAGCTGAGATTATAGGCACCCGCCACCACGCCCAGCTAATTTTTGTATTTTTAGTAGAGACGGGGTTTCACCATGTTGGCCAGGCAGGTCTTGAACTCCTGACCTCAGGTGATCTGCCCGCCTCCTCCTGACCTCAGGTGATCTGCCCGCCTCCTCCTGACCTCAGGTGGTGATCTGTCCACTTCAGCCTCCCAAAGTGTTGGGATGACAGGTGTGAGCCACTGCTCCCTGCCTATTTATTATTTTAAATAGAGACAGGGTCTCCCTTTGTTGCCCAGGCTGGTTTTGAACTCTTGGCTTCAGGGAATACCTCGTCCTCAGCCTGCCAAGTTGCTGGGATTACAGTCATGAACCACTTCACTTGGCCCATAATTTTTAGATGGACAGAGATAGCAGAAGAAGCCCAAGTACTTTGTTAAAGTATCACTGTGGCCCTTTTTGATCGATCTACCTGTTCATTGGAAGGAAAGACAGTGGTTTGTGGTGAATCTCGGCCTGGTTCAAATGAGTCTCCTTACAGGCCATCCTGTGAATAGTCAGTCATCTTGCCAGGCATGGACCTAAAATTCACTAGGCTGTGATTGCAGGTTCAACTCTTACCATTTTGAAAATCAGAATGGCAACCATTCTAGTGCCTCTTCCTGTGCCTTTGAAGGTTGCCAACAATGTTTCATCTTAGTGAGGCCTGTGACACAGGAGGCTTGACTTCATTTGAATGTTGTGTCACTTGGGTTATTGTTTCACATAGCTTAAATTTCTGTCCCCCAGCCCATATGTCTTCGGACCTCTACAGGCCTTAGAACGTGCTTGCTAAACACAACCAAACGAGAATGAGGAGTGGTGGAGTTCAAGAGACTCAGGAACATAAGAGAAATGCACAGCACAGGTGAGGGAAGTAGGAGAAGCCCTGGCTCAGGCCAGGAACGGCGTTACTAGTCGGGGTTCTCCAGAGAAACAGAATCGATAGGATGGATGGACAGATAGACTAGAAAGAGAGATGACTCATGGTTGTGTGGGCTGCAAGTCAGGGTAGCAGGCTTAGATACCCAGGGAAGAACTGATGTTGCAGTCCTGAGGGCAGAATCCTTTCTCAGAACACCTCAGCCTTTTCTCTTAAGGCCTTCAATTGGTTGGATGAAATCCACCCACATTATGGAGGGTAATACGCTTTACTCAAAGTCTACTGATTTAAATGTTAATCACATCTAAAATACCTTCACAGCAACATCTGGAATGGCATATGACGAAACCGGACAACTGTGGCATGAAAGTTATTGGGGATTCCATGGTCAGAGGATGGGATTTAAGGAATACGGAAGATATCCCTGGGTCCTTGTGAGAATTCTCCTTGGAAGCCAAAATGGGGATTAATGGGGGCTTAGGGTGGTTTAAGGAACAATTGGTTAGCTTGGGCTCTTGTAAGAAGTATTTGTCAAGCAACCTTAATGAATGGAGTGGTAGGTAGAATAGAAAGCTATGGCGAAACCCCATCTCTACTGAAAATACAAAAATTAGGTGTGGTGGCACACACCTGTAATCCCAGTTACTCAGGAGGCTGAGGCATGAGAACCACTTGAACCTGGGAGGTGGAGGTTGCAGGTTGCGGTGAGCCAAGATTGCACCACTGCACTCCAGCCTGGGCAACAGGGAGAATTTGTCTTAAGAAAGAAAAGAAAAAGAAAAAAGAAAAGCTAAACAATCCATGGTCCCTGCCTTTCAAGGAGTTTATAATCTAGACAGATAGGATTTGTACAGGCAACAATAAGGCAGATTTGGGCAAATCTCATTACAGAGCAGTATGCAAAGTACCATGGGATCACAGATGAGGTGTCTCGGGAAAGAAGTAACATATCCCTGGCCTCCAGCGGCTCCCTACCTGGTGGAATGGGTGAGTTAACGGCTGGGATGGAATGGGATCAGTACTACCACAGGGATAGAATACTGTGGGAAGGCAAGAGAGTCAGGAGGTTGGGGTCAAGAGAGAGACATCTATTTTGGCCTGCTGACTGAGGAGAGGAGGGGGTTTTAGTCAAAAATAATTGCCACTCAAGAACCACACATGTTCAGTATGGCTGCAGAACCGGAGGCGGGGGTGTGATGAGGGAGCCTGCTGGAGCTGTTCCCATTGCTGAGTTCTGAAAGGTCAGGAATTCATCCTGGGGCCAGAAATGGCAAATAGGTAGCACCAGTGCCATCACTTGCCCTGTGACAGGTACCTCAGACTGTACTAATCTATCAGTAATTTGTCCTCTTGAGTTGGTCTCTCTCCACATTTTTCTCAACAGCGTGCTTACTGTCCCATAAGTTAAAACACATTTGTCATTCTTGATGTAGGGAATAGGCCATTGGAGGGTGTCTTGGTCAGCTCTGGCTGCTGCTGCTAAGTACCTTAGATTGATGGCCGGGCATGGTGGCTCCTGCCTGTAATCCCAGCACTTTGGGAGGCCAAGGTGGGCGGATCACTTGAGGTCAGGAGTTCGAGACCAGCCTGGCCAACATGGCGAAACCCCATTGCTACTAAAAATACAAAAATTAGCCAGGCACGGTGGTGCACACCTGTAATCCCAGCTACTCAAGAGGCTGAGGCAGGAGAATTGATTGAACTCGGGAGGTGGAGGTTGCAGTGAGCCAAGATCATGCCACTGCACTCTAGCCTGGGTTACAGAGTGAGACACAATCTCAAAAAAAAAAAAAAAAAATCCTTGGATTGGGTAATTTATAAACAATATAAATGTAATGCTCCTAGTTCTTGAGGCTAGGAAGTCCCAGATCAAGGGATCAACAGGTTCAGTGAGTGTCTGGTGAGGGTCTGTTCTCCTAGATGGCGCTTTCTGTGTCCTCACACAGTGGAAGGGGGAAACAGGCTCCCTCAAGCCTCTTTTATTAGGGCATTAATTCCATTCATGAGGGCAGAGCCCTCATGACCTAATCAGCCCCTAAAGATCCCATGTCTCAATACTATATCACATTGGGTATTAGGTTCCAACATAGGAATTTTGGAAGGACACCATCATTCAGACCATGATAGAGGGTTTTAAGAAAGGGAGTGATGTGATCCTGTTTGTCTTTTGGGAAAATCACAGTGCTGACTTGAGAAAGGAATTGCAGTGGTGGCAGAGTAAGAAAAGCTGGGAAGGGGCCGGGCGCGGTGGCTCACGCCTGTAATCCCAGCACTGTCAGAGGCAGAGGCGGGCGGATCACCCAAGGTCGAGAGTTTGAGACCAGCCTGACCAACATAGTGAAACCTCGTCTCAACTAAAAATACAAAATTAGCCAGGCACATGCCTGTAACCCTGGCTACGCGAGAGGCTGAGGCAGGAGAATGGCGTAAACCCGGGAGGCAGAGCTTGCAGCGAGCTGAGATCCGGCCACTGCACTCCAGCCTGGGCAACACAGCAAGACTCCATCTCAAAAAAAAAAAAAAAAAAAGAGAATCTTAGCCTGGCAGTTTTGCATATGTGTTTGGGGGTTAGGGAAGTTGGTACACAACACTGTCCCCTGGGAGAGGGAACCAGGGATGAAACAGCTGAGCAAGTGGTTTGCCAAGTGGAAAGAGATATGGGCAGTCTGGGGCCCTAAGAACTGCCATTTTCTTTCTTCACTATGTGCACCTGTTCTGAAATGAGGCAGGGTAAGATAACACATACCCTATGTCTTAGGAGTTGCGTGCAGATGCTTTAGGAAACCTGGAGACTTAACCTTCCTTCCTTCTGCCACTCCAACCCGTTCATGCCAGAGATGCCCTGCCATTTTCATCCAAGAGGCCAGATGGTCCCTGGCCTTTGAACAGGACTAGACCCAGAGACCACCTACATTCAATGCAAATAAACTACCTTGATCCTACTGCAAGACCCCCCAGGATCAGATCTTTGGACTGTGCCAGATGAACCATACTGCTAGATTCTCTCTTCTAGGCCCCCGAACACACAGACACTGTCCCATGGAAATGGTTGGGCAATAGGAGCCACGAAGAAAAACAGCGACTCCCTGCCCAGTCAGCTGCCCACCAGCTGTCCACCGCCCACAAGAGGTGATGTCATGCAACTGGGGGCCCAGCCCCTCATTCCTGACAGACCAGAGAGCCAGGGCCCCAGGCCCTCTCCCTCCCACCTCCCCAGCTTAGAAGCAGTGACAGTAGCCAGTGAGGAACTCCCAGTGAACTATTCATTTCTGACAGTTCTGGGCCCCACTGATGGACAAGGCCCATGTTAGAGCTCTGAGACTTGGGTCAGACTCCAGAGGGGCCAGCACTAGCCCCAGGTGCTCTGACTTCCTCATGGTACCCTAGAGCTTAAGCTGCTCAGTGGAAGACTCAGCTCTCCCAATTTCCTCCACAGGGGGGCCGCTGACTGTTACATAGCCAGGCGAGGGGTTGTCCTGAAGAGAAGGGATGTTACCTAGGCCTTGTCCATTAGCTGGGCCCCCGCTGTCTAAGCCCCCACCCCAGGCCAGCCAGGAGTGTCAGGAGCCAGGGCAGGCAGAGCAAAGGGAGGGATACTGAGAGCTCATTCTGAGAGAGGCTGGCTTGGGAAGAAGGTCCAGATTGAGTACAGATGTCTGAGGAGCCAGAGCGGTGGAGGTTTTGTGGGGAGGCTTCCTGGAGGGAGGAGGAGGGGATGTGTCCTGGTATGAAGCTGCAGGTGGTATGCAGAACGCTTCCCCCACCGCCCAAGCTTTAAAGGGCTGCAGAAGATAGGATGAGAACAGATGCTAGCCAAGAGACTTAGGCTTAGGAGAAAGCTGTGGAGAGTTGGAGCAGGCAAAGCTTTAGAGGCCTCACATATACTGCCTGGCATGCAAAGGTTAGTACACCAAGAACGCCTGCCAGCAGTCTGCCTTCTCCCTGCTGAATTTCACCTGCAGCAGAAGCAGCTTTGATGCAAAAAACTTCCTAACTGACGCTGTGAGATTCCAGAACTCAGTGACCAAAGTGGAGCTTGGCATCCCAGTTGGCCCAGATCCTCCTGGGAGGAAGAAGAGCCGTGGGGGATCCTGAAACAGGGCTGGGATTCCAGGTGGAGTCTTCCAGCCTTTCCGCCTGGCTTGAAGATTTTCCGCCAAGAGACTCATGGCCACCAGAGGGCATCACCACTCCACAGTGTGGCATCCTGGGCTCCGGGGGCCCCTCCTTGGAGAAACTGGGGAGATTGGGAGGGGGAAGCAAGCAGGGATCTCTGAGCTCTCAGGGAGCTACCAGCAGCTGAATTAAACAGTCTTTGGAGTCAAGAGACCTGGGTTCTAGTGGGTTCTAGTCCCTGTTATGATTCTTTCTCTCCCTGGCTTCAGTTGCCTCTGTTAAATGAGGGCTTGGACCATACGGTATCCTTTCCAGACCATAAGGCCATTTCTGGCTCTGAAATCCCAGGATTTAAGGAATCACACAAAGGACTTGGTAAAAATTGCATTTCCTGGGTCCACCTTTACTCTGGGGTTCTCTAGGGCTTTCTGCCTAGCAAGAGGAGGAAACAAGGCGTAAATTTCAGTCCTCTGGTGGTGTTTGCTCACTTGGAGGCCCGGAGGTGGACTGTCCTGCATAAACTGGGGAAGTCTGCCTCCACCTCAGCTGAAGGATGACTGGCTCCACAGGCTGTTAGACACAGGAGCTGTGCCACACCTGTGGCATCCACTTCTCCAGGTTTCAGGCAAGGAGATGTGTCCAGTAGGTAACCCTCTGTGATAGCTGGAGTGGCTCCTTCACAGAGGAGGTTGTGCAAGATGCCCTTTTGCTGGGTCCCTTTGGGGATAAGCAATGGAATGAATGGAATACATATCATTGCCTTTCCACTTTGCGCCTCCCCCCTCCCACCCCCCACAGATGCCGTCTGTCAGGAGCAGGCAACAGACGGTCCCGGGGTCCATCTGTGCTAATGCTTCACAATAGAGTCCCATGTTTCCCCACCGACACCCCCTCGGCCCCTCAGCTGATGGCCACTTGGTGGTGCCAAGGCGGGAGGTGGGAGGAGGGAGAAGAAGGCACTAAGAGAGCTACCTCTTAGCTCCTGGCAGTCCTCAATCCACCCCGGCCCCCCACCCAACAAGCATCCTGCCATCTGGACTTGTGCAATCACTAAGGGGCGGAAAAGCACCCTCTTCCACCCACACCTCTTGTAGGGGATGGGGGCCTAGAGGACTGGGGGTGGGGAGGAGAACACAGAGTCAAGGAGACTAGAGAAGAAGGAAGAAGAAAGAAGACTGAGCCAGGCACGAGAACTGAGACAGGCAGGAGGCAGAAAGCCTTTCCTGGCCTCGCAGGTGGACGTGGCCATTGCCCCTCTGTGCTCCTTATGCCACGTGTCTAACGCAGCACATGTGCAAGGTACCACTCCCTACCAGGCCAAGAGCCTCTGTAACCCCAGTGGCCAGCCAGTACCTGGCACAGAGCAGGGCTTAAATGTTGGATAACAGCACAGAGTGGTTAGATTGCAGGCTCTGCAACCAGGCTGTCTGGCTTTGAACCTCAGCTCTGCCGCTGAGTGACTTAGGGCAAGTTACTTATCTTCTCCGGGCCTCAGTTTCCTCATCTGTAAGGGAGGATAATGGTGCTTATTTCGTAGGGTTGTTATGAAGACCAAGTGAGTTAATGCATGTATGTAAAAGGACACACAGAACAAACAGTGTGCATTGCACATGGTAAGTGCTCAATAAATGTTAACTGTGAAGGCATAACAGATTTGGGAAGACTGGGGGAGGAGGGGACAGACAGGGGCACCGCATTGCCGCCTCTGCTTCTTGGTCGATGGGTGCTGGGACATGGAGTCCCCAGCTTGTGCTGCTGACGCCCTGTGGTGGCTAGCCGCTCTTTAGACACCAGACGCTGCCTTCCACTTCCTCCTCTCACTTCTTATTCGGGCACCACTGACGACAGAGACTTCGGCTGGGCCATTCCCGCCTCTCCTACCGCCTGGCAGCCATGGTAACAGCCTGGGGGATGGTCCCTACCATGGGGTCAGAGAACGGCTGAGCATAGCCATCCCCCCCGCAGCCCTGAACTCCGATATTGCCTGGGCTCATCCCAACCTCCTGAGTCAAGTCCATAGTAAGCGTCTGTCTGCTGGGAAGGGGGATCTGGGCCTGGCATCAGGAGCTGAGGAAAGGTGTGTTCAGCAGGGATCACTCAAGCCCCTCGGAGGCGATAGGCCAGAATTAAGCCTACTGCTTTCAGGGCTTCCACCTCTTCCCTTTCTCCTAGACGTGGGAACAGGGGGCAGCCTCTTTCAGCTCTTCTGGGGCAGCTGTGTCAAGGGAAAATCCTGGGCCCTCTCACTCCCTGGGGGCTTCTGTGCAGAGTTCAGGGAGTCTCCTCCCTCCTCTGTCCGGCCTCCACCCCTACTGCTGCGCAGCCCCGCTGCCTCTCTCCCTGCCCTAGAGTCTCCTGCAGCCCCCTGGATCTCCTTGACTCTCCCCACCTCCCTGACTCCCCAGGCTTCCTACAGTGACCTCTTACCGTGCCCCGCTCCATGAATCGCCAGAGCTATTCTTACCTAAATGTCAAACCTTGCTCAATGTCCCTTCACAGACCCCTCCAGGTATCACGCAGCCCCGAGCCCCGCCCTGGGGGCCTCATCCCGCCCCCTCGCGTCCGCTGCTCGGTTTCCCCCACCGAGCGCCCAGCTCCCG